TTATCCGTCAAGTTACAACAGTAAAAACAATGAATCTCTGCAAGATAAATGAGAGAGAGAGAGAGAGAGAGAGAGAGAGAGAGAGAGAGAAAGCAGCATTTATTATGCGCTCTAAGATAAGTCCCCTCAAGCGTAGAGACTATAGTATTTAGAATCAATATAGTGTACATCGAAAAAGATCGAATTTCTAAAAGAAGCATATACAAAAAAAGAACTTTAAAAGAAAAATATGATTATACACATATTACTGAAAATAATAGTTTACTCAAGTAAAAAGCACACATGCGAGTGAAAAGTATACACGCGAAAAAATATCTCAGTGGAATTAATTCCAACACCTAATATATATATATATATATAAAACGCTGATACGCATGTTAAATGATGAGACCTTTCAGAGATATACCTATTGTTATTACTCAATTGAGAAACTAATATACAGATGTTGTTACGATTTCGAGAGCAAATGCACATAAAGTCTCAACCTAAAAACATTAATTGAGTTCTAGGAGCACACATCTTGCGGGAGGCTGTTCCATAGATTGGCCGCAGTAGAACGAAAGGATCTTTTATAAAATTCAGTACGACACTGTGGAAGAACCAGCAGATCGCCCGGTGCTCTGGTCCGCCTGCTCGATACCTCAGTACGGTATATGAAATTGGAGAGAAGAGGCCGAAGCTGCCCAGTCTTCAAGTGCAGAAGACAACACAAAGTACTGCCTTTTGACATTGACCTTCAGCCAGCGTGCACGTCTATAATAAAGTATGATGTGGGCATCCATCTCATCCCATAAACAAACTTAAGGTTCTTCTCAGCTTGATGTCCTGTTCCTGTGTAATATCCCAAGTGAGGAAACAATAACAATCCTTAGCGATTCTGGCATCAAGTGTTTGCACAATTTAAGCATGATATAGCATTAATCTAATTTTCTTCGTTATGTTGTTCACATGATTGTCCCATGAAATTACTGGATATTACAGTTATTAGGTATTTAACCTCCATGACAAATCGAACAAGAATCTCAGCAACCATGATGTTCAGCAGTGCATCAAAATCAACGGATGTAGTGTGTCGTGCCAACAATGATAGCATGCGTTTTAGCTTTTTTTAATAGAAGCTGATTTTCAGTAGCCAATTAACTATGTATTCTATGTTATCATTAATTCTCTTAATGGTTTTTGCTAACTTGCTCGGCTCACAATCTAAATATATGATCAAGTCATCAGCGTAGAAATTGTATCTGCAATTCCTGAGAGTACTCCTCAGTTAGAAATAATTCCTCGAAAAGATGTCATTTCGATGTCGTTGTGATGGAAAAGTTGTCGATTCGAATTTGCATCGAAATTTCAACATTTTCCAGATAAAAAATTACGTAGAGAGTGCAATGAGAGTTTGATATATTTTTAATATTTTTGGTATAAATACGTAATCTTATATTTTGAATATTTTCATTCAAAGGTCGAATCGACATTTTTTTCGATTTCATTTCGACAATTGTAATATTGCTCTAATCATAAAAGCTTTCTCAAAATTTTTCAGAATTTATAAATAATTTTATAACTTTTTAGAAAATTGTGGAATTTTTTTATACAAATCGAAACTGTCATTTTTTATAACTGTCGATAAAGTCTATAAGTTTTCTTCTAGTAATTTTTTGTATCTTATTTTAGTGTTACTACTCCTACTGAATAACATTACTTTTATTTGTACTTCGTAGTTCATTTAATATAATCTTATTACGTCACTTTTGTATTAAGGAATTTCAGGGAATAATGTTTTTTACCATAAATGCTGACAATCTATTAGCTGTCTCTTACCATAAATGAGCAAATTATCATCGATGAGGAAAATATCATCGACTATATTTAATTTTAATTAGACTAATTCTAGCTCAAACCGATATCGAAACGATTTCGATTTTAAATTAATGAAATTTAAGTATTATTTCAGCTAATAAAAATAATATTTTACAGTATTATAATATTAAAAACAAGTTATTATCATAGGTGTCATCATTTGTACATTACTACTATTTAACATTAATTATATTTTTTTTATGTGTTCCGCCTCTTTCATAACATCTTTGAACAGATATGTTACAACTATACATTCATTAGCATTATACTTGTAGATGTTTACAGTTCTTCGAAGGAGCAGTTTTTCGATCACAGAAATAAAGCATGGTAAGTGAAGGTTCGGATTCGTATGGGTGACCGCGCTGCATCATAAAATTCTCGAATTCATAAAAAAAATTTTTTTTATTATAATTTTGTCTTGTATCCTTTGTAATATGATGCTAATCAATAATATTTATTTATTAATAATAATTATTTTCATAATAAAATTTCAATGAAACTTCAATGAAATGTTTTCCACCACTATTACGCTATTAGTGACACTACTTGTCGAATTTACTTATTGTATTAGTAGTATATTTTTATGCTGACTAGATCAATTCAAGATTTTACTTCTAACTCGAAAATTAATCAAAATTGGAGTCAAAAATCCGTCGAAAGCAATAGAAATTTCGAAAACTTTCGACTTTTATTTTTTTTTCGACGTCTTTTCAAGAAATTATTTCTGACTGAGTCCGATAAATATAAACTGAAAAGTACAGGCGCCAAGAATAGAATTCTGCGGAACTCCAACCATGATGGCAGCAGGGACAGACACAGAGCTACTCCCCCTATCTCTGACCATCTGTGTCCTGTTTGTGAGATATGAAGTAACCCATGTTAGCACCGAATGAAAAAGATACATTCCTCTGAACTTTTCTATTAAAATTCCATAGTGCACCCTAAAAGCCTTCGAAAAATCAAAAAGAACATAAACAATGACCCTCCGCTGCTCCACAATCTTATATTGTCAAGCGTACTAATAAGATAAGTTTGGGTAGAATGAGCCTTTCTGTAGACATCCTATCGTAGATCCAAAAACTCGGACTTCTCCAGAAAAAAGCAAATTTGTTCACATACAATTCTTTCAAGTAACTTAGACAATGCAAGGAGTATCAAGATTGGCCTATAGTCCTTAACAGATGTAAGATTTTTTACTTTAGGGCTTGGACACATCACCGTAGACTTCCACTGAACAGGAAAGATTTCATGCATAAACGAATAGTTAAAAATGTATTCGAGAATAGACAGAATATAAGCAACAAGCTTCAGTAACTTAGGAGAAACATCATCAGAGTAAATAGTATTAGATATTATTTTTAAAATCAATTTCTGGATCTTCAAGTTAATTACAGGCACTCCTTATATTCGGTGATTTTAATGTTCATATTGACACGCATGCTTATTGACACGTACGATAGTATACAGTTAAAAAAATTTCATCGACTCACAAGGGAAGTTTTACAATTATCCGGAACCGATTTGATTCTCCTTGAAATATTGTAAAACATGAAAATCTAAAAGACACATATTTTTTTATGTGCGCTAATTCATGTTTAAGGGGTGAAATACTTCTTTGAAAAAAAAAACGGTATTTTTCTTTCGAGCCAAATATCGGAAGTATAAAAGATAGAAAAAAAATTTTTTAACAAAAGTTGTACGGTTTTAAGAGTACTTTAAAATTATAAAGAAAAAAATTTTTTCCATTTTTTTGTTTAACAAAATACCCCCACGACCCGTAATTTTCTTAAATTTTCAATTTTTTTTTACCAAATTAAAGATTATTTTTTTACAAAATCCAACCATATGTAATAAAGTTACATTACGACATATCAAGAAATAATTATTAACGCTTCCATATATACGCTATCCATGCTCATATGCGTAAGTAATTGTCGTCAAAACGATAAAATACATAAATCAACGAATAAAGAAATTGACATGATTGATATTTGTAACATTAAAAATTATAAATAATGTTAAGAGTTATTATAATTTTTATTATTTCTCCTTAAAGTGAGTAAAACTTTTTTATTCATCTCTGTACATTATTTCTTTATAATATCTTAAGATTATTCTCTTAAAGTTATTTTCAGTTTTACGCTTTAATCTTATTTACTTGTTTACGTAATAATTTCAAAACGTATATATTATACTTAATAATGAAATAATTTCTAAATGTTTTATACACAATAAATTTATATTTTGTATCGTTTACTCATTATACTCATTACAATAATGATACCCGATGAAAAAATGTTTTAAGCACTTCTTGCACCATGAGAGAGAGAGAGAGAGAGAGAGAGAGAGGAGGGGAACATTTACTACATATATTACTACAATCTTCAATATCACATGTTGTTGAACTTTTGTCAAAACTAAATTCTATTGGATTTTCCAATTCTTCTCATCTTTCATTTGTATAACCATTTTTAAACCATGAATATTTAAATAAGTAATGATATCGCGGGGATGACAATTGATTATGTATCAGAGATTATAATTTTATATTATTTCAATAATGTAAATTTATATTATTTTCTAATAATAAAACAGTATCTGAAAATCTTTTAGCAAAATTTTTCCAAATTCTAAATCTGTAAACATCTAATGGTTATATTTTCCCTGTAGTGCCTTTCGGTATAATTATAATAGTAATAATGTCTTCCTGTTAAATCTGAAATATTGGGACATTGTCCAGTTCATAAATCGAAGAACGATAAGAAGAATGATAAGAAGAACGCTATTTGAACCAATGTTTGGAAAATGAGCTTCTTTTAACCGCATTTTAAAATGATCTGTAAGAAATATAAATGTTAAATTAATATTATTATTATTATATCACTATTTTATGACTGTTATAAGATAACGAAATAAAATATAAAATATATCACAGAAATAAGACTTATAATTTCATTATATTATTTCGTTTATGCAAATTTATATTTACTTTTTATTAGTAAAAGTTTAACAGTATCTGAAAATATATTGTAAAAGGAAATTTATTTAATTATCTGAAGTGATTTTACCAGATTTCGATTCTTTTATAATAACATTTATTGGTGTAAATAAGATTTCTTGGTCCTAATATATCATTAGTTTCTTTCAATACAATAAATAAAGGTGACAAATATTCATTACATATATTATTGGTTGTCTGGTATATGAGTGTGTTGTTAATGATTGCACAACATACTCTATTTTCTTTACTTCTTTATTAGACAATGACCTTCCAAAATGAATTTCCAATTGAAAACACTTTGATCAGAATTAAAAACATTTTCAGATCTGAACTGTTCGATAAGTGGTTTCAATGTTTTCAGAAAATCATTAGCTGTATTTTGCAACTTAACAGAATCTTCTATTGTTCTTCTAGTTACAAATTTCATAATTTTTCTCGAAATAATTTGGTGGGACTTTTTGAATGTTAATACTCGACTGTGAGATGCTTTAAATATAGGATTTAAATTTCTTCTTGAGCTTGTAAAGCCCACCTTTGTAGATCGATATCATGAACTATGAATCGTCAACAGCTTCAAGTACATAAAAGATTCAACAGTTTCAGTAAATTTATCATGTGTAAATTTGGAGATGTAAGATAATTTTTTTATATGATTTCCAACTTAATGTAATTGTTCTGTCCATCATTTTAATTGACATTCAGATGACACTCTTCTAAATTTATTTTGCACTGATTTTTAGCGGACGATTCCTTTTGTTTTTATTTTTTTTATTGTATTAATGCCCCAATTCCGCCAATACTCAACAGCTCGTCTTTTATAAGAACTGGCAAAGTCTGCGTCATCATTTGAATATTGAGGATGAGAATTAAAATTATCTTTACCATGCTTCTTCAGCTTTCAATTATTTCATAATTATGTAGTTTATATAAGGTTCTTGATAATCGAGATAGGTTTCTTCTGTTACTTCCAACTCATTATAGTTAAAAATGCTATCCAACAATAATTTTTGTATATTTTCTTTTAATTATATTTCTGCTTCAGTTTCTAGTGTTTCTGTTAGATATATTGAACTTATAGATGCTAATAAAAGTCTAACAACATTAAGCAGATTGATAATCATTTCCAAAGATTAAACTTGGCTTTGAATTGTAATATAAAAACAATTTAACAAATTGCATAGATATAATTATGACAAAACTACTGCACTGACTGAATGTAAAACTGCTACGTAATATTCTTATACTGTCCATTTGTTATACTTATCTTGAATATATACATAAACTTATATCATAAATTATGGTCCAGTTATTGTCTAATCATTTATTATCGATGGACGCATTCAGCAGTAAAGAGCGCTACGGATCCATCCAATGAAAGGCGTACTTTCCGTATTGCTCCCTCAACATGTTGCAGGAACGGACATCATCCTATTGAGCGGAAATTTTTTTTCATAAACTTCGGTTCGACAACATTCTCGTTCAGTCAAGTCACAGACTTGGTATTTACAACTGTGTCAAGACCAAGCAGCATTTCAACAAATTTCAGCCGATCCACACACCTTCTCCACATAGCTTCTCAATGAATTGCACTCCTACTCCGTGTTCACATTCGAATGTAAGATCTTCGCCATTGTCTAATCCGATTGCTGTTGATTCATTTATAGAATTAGATATCGATGTCAATAATACAATAGTAATTCTAATTTCAGGTTAGAAAATAAATATTTAAACCATGCCGAGTTTAGTAGAAATGTCAGATTCATTTTCCGGACCTTGTGTTCCATTAAAAAATGTTCAAAAAAGGCGAGATTCAAAGGAGATTTACAATGTAAGAAAAAAATTGGTTGCAGTTGAGTAGAAACAAATTAGAGCGATAGAACAGTTAACAAGAAAACAATTCGATTCAAAGAGAAAAAAACGAACATTTAAAATAATTTCTTACGAAAATGTAACTATGTAATGTTATTAATATTAGGTGTTGGAATTAATTCGTAGCGTTTTACAAGTGATGGGAAGTACTTTCATTAATGTATTTTTTAATGCTCATGTGAAATAAATAACATTCTTTCATTAAAAAACGCTACGAATTAATTCCAACACCTAATAATAAATTATTTTTACATACATATGTTTGTTTACTTTGTACACTTTATTTATTTTTTGTATACTTTAATCCCATTTTCATTCCTTTATATACTTAATTTACAAATTATTTACAATATAATTTCTTTTTTCAACTGCCGAGCCACAAATAGATGTTTCCAATTCAGATGTTCTAGATTAATGATGTTAATGTATGTGCGTGCGTGTGTGCGTGTGTGTGTGTGTGTGTGTGTGTGTGTGTGTGTGTGTGTGTACACATATTAACCCTGTTATTATTTCTTTGACATTTAATTTCTTCTATGAATAAAAATGAAAAACAATTTTATTTCAAATCCATTCTTTTATAATAAAATTATTGTATAAGATTGGTAGCTTTAAAAAATAAATTTTTAAAAAATTGTTTTGCATTTAAAATTACATTGAATTGTTAAAAAAATCTTACGTCTGAAGAATCCGTATAAAAAACGTATAAAAAACTATACAAATTTTACTTAAAACATCTTTATATATATCTTATTGTACCAATGACAATTACTTACGTATATGAGCATGGATAGTGTACATGTATACGGAAGCATTAATAATTAATTCTCGAAAATGATATGTCGTAATGTAACTTTATTATACATGGCTGAATTTGTAAAAAAATAATCTTTAATTTAATAAAAAAAAATTAAAAATTTAAGAAAATTACGGGTGGTGGGGGTATTTTGTTAAACAAAAAAATAAAAAAAATTTTTTTTCTTTATGACTTTAAAATACTCTTGAAGCCGTACAACTTTTATTTAAAAAATTTTTTTCTATCTTTTATACTTCCGATATTCGGCTCAAAAGAAAAATACCGTTTTTTTTTCAAAGTATTTCACCTCTTAAACATGAGTTAGCGCATAAAAAAATATGCGTCTCTTAGATTTTCGTGTTTTTCAACATATTTTATGGAGAATCAAATCGGTTCCGGACAGTTGTAAAACTTCCCTTATCAATAAATTTATACTGTGTACCATACTGGGCAACGCATCGTTTAAGAGACTCCAAAATTTATTATCATCGAATTCTTCTTTCCATAAGAAATTAATATCATTGTCACTACTTGCGCCAGACTGAGCAAAATATATAATAAGTTCATAAACTATATGTTGAAGCTATGAACCATTACCCTTGACCTTAACAAGTCCAAGATGTCTCAATTTGCTCCAGATATCTCAGTGGTTTGGGAGTCATTGAATACTGATATATAATAGTCGCTTTTGGCTTTTCTCACCGCAATTTGCATTCCATTTCGCAGCAGCTTGAAACGTCGATAGCTATTGCTGCCACATCTCCTGTGCCACACCCTTCTGACAAGATCTCGCTCTCTCATAGTCGTCCTAAGCGTAGTTAAGAGAACCCACGAAGCTGGAGCACTTTTATACCCCTTTGCAGTTGTGCATGTTTGTTATGTAGCATGCAAGCAGTTTCGAATTGAAGTTGTCTATCGTTTGATCAATGAACCTTTTCTCAGTCAACGACGACTAATCAAAAGAGAAAGATCTCCTCGTTGAAAAATTTAAAATTCTGACACGTTACAATTCGATCCAAGCGTCGCTGTATCTTGATTCTGTATCTGATATATATCAGGTCGCGAGCCGAAAGAAATGCTATGCCATGCTGGCCAAAATCAATCATTTTCATATTGTCATCGATTCTACAGAGATCAAGTAAAACACTGGAATCTCTTAAATGATGCGTTGTCCGCTATGGTACATAGTATAAATTTGCTGAGTCGATGAAGTTTTTTTAACTGCATACTATCATATGTGTCAATAAGCATATCCTTAAATATCATTAAAATCACCGAAAATAATGGAGCATCTGTAATTAACTTGAAAATCCAGAAATTGATTTCGAAATTTCTGCAGATACCCTATATTAGGAGGTCTGCATACTATGCTAAAAGCAGAAGATTAGACGTAGATTCGAATTGAACTTCAGCAATCAAAAATTCAGGCCTTTCAGCAATTGGCCTGAGAGTATGTAAGAAGAGACGCCCGGAGGTAGTTACGGTAATAAAAGTCTATCTCACTACCATGTTTGCCTATTCGATTCCACCTAAGTAATGAAAAACCTGGAAAAATCATAGTATCCAACACTTCAGTTCTAAGCTACGTCTTAATCATACAAATTCTGCAATAATCGGAAGTCATGAAAAAGTTGAGAAATTCATCGTATTGTGTCACCAGAGACTGACAATTTACCTAACAAATTTTTAAGTTGTCAAAACCTCCTTGTGAGTTAGCCATAATTGATGTATGCAATTTTGATTCTATTGTTCAAAATTGGACATTTACTAACATCTGTTGCTAAGTATGTTAGATCATGTGTTATTTGTTGATGGGCCTCTACTGTGTACACAGTTACCACATCTTGGTAGATCCATTTTTTTTGTACAGTCTTTCATCTTATGCGCTCTAGAATAATGGCCACATAGGGGCACAGCCCTAGAATCTTTAATTCATATTATCAAATCTCATATTAACAAAGGCAAAACATCTCTAACATTATAATATGCGCACATGGTCCGCAAACATACATGCAGCATATTGTAGGTAGATACGACTGTTTTTTTATTAAGATCCTTCAAACCATCGGTGATACTTCCAAAACACAGTTCGTAACTCTCCTATTACTCTTATGCGTGCGTGCGTGCGTGCGTGCGTGCGTGCGTGTGTATGTAAGAGACCTGCAAGTCATTATCTTTTGGGCAATAACTTCAGTTTTGATTTCATCTAGCATCATTTCAGTAGACACTCCATGAATGATAATTCAAGGCTTCACTTTGATATTCTCTAAGCCGCGCCTTAGCAAGTTCCGAACAAGATTTCAGTTTTGCAAGATCTAGTTTATTTTCCTCGATTCTTATGCCTTTATTCGCCGCGTACGCAATTTTATTTACTTTAAGAGCACATTGCGCCGACTTTAGTACATCGAGTACAATCTTCTTTATATCTTGTAAAGATGCAAATCTTTCAGCATGATTCTCTTCGAACATTACAAAAAGGCTAGTAAACTTAGACACCTCCAACGTCAACCCGCGAGGCACACAGATCTTAGACGGAAGAGATTTTACCGCAGATGCATACGAGAAAGCAGCATCGTGGACCTGACGATCCGTCAGATCTCCTTTTTCATGTTTGTTTAAAGCTTCTTGAACCACCTTTTTAATGTTACTCGCATTTAATCTATTCAATCTGTCATCCAATAAATTAACAAGGATAATAAATACCTCCATGAAAGCATCCCCACAAATGCGCAGCACAATATCAACCTAATCTCTTCTCTTCACAGTCTCCTTGCTAGTTAAAATAATCCTACTAGGCAACTCGCAATGCCTGTCAATCGTTGCTCTAAGCGCATTGACCTTAGAAACATTAATATATTCAAACGTGGATCTATCTGCGATAATTATTCAGTTTAGCTACCGCACCTCAAAAATCAATAAAATTAGGCTTATTCGACGCGTTTTTGCATGAAACAAAAGAATCTGGCAAAAAAAGTGTCGCTCTGCTTCGCCAGCTGAAATATTAAACGTTAAAGTTGACAACTATTAAGGTTAGGAAATCTGTCACAGAGATAAAATGAGGTCTATAACTGTTGGATTTCGACTTTCCACGCGAAGCGACTCTCACCCTCCCTCTCCCCCTGCAAAGGGGCGCACGACTTCTATAATTGCACTGTTGTTGTTAAGATTAGAAAATCTGTCATGTAGACAATAAAGTGCACAGACTAGTGCTTATTAGGCTATTCCGCCCCGAACAAAAAGAAAAACATATCCTACCCGCTTAGGGCCTAATTGCCTAGAAGTTGCAGCCTAGACAATAAAAAGACTGTTCTCACACCCCATTGTCTTCATGGATTAGAAATATTCCAAACGGACACTGTCTATGCTGCAACTTCTTGGTGGTTAGGCTCCAAATGGGTAGAATATGTTACTTAATATATGTACTTTTTTTTTGTTCGAGGCGACGTAGCCGCCCCGAATCAATAAGCACTAGTCTACATTCCACTAGTCTACATTCCACTATCTACATGACAATTGCATTACGTAGTAACACTTTAGTCAACTTGAATACTCAATATTTTGCTTCGCAGAGCAATCCCGAACTTTTTTATACAAAAACATGTCGAATGAGCTTAATTTCATCAAAATCGGAGATAGCTCTTCTGAAGAATTATCCTCATTTTATGTCTGTGACAGATTTCTTAACCTGAATAATTATCAACTTTAACGTTTAATATCTCGGAACACAGGACAGAGCGACACTTTTTTCTGCCAGATTCTTTCGTTTCATGCAAAAATGCGTCGAATAAGCCTAATTTGATTGATTTTTAAGGTGTTAAACTGAATAATCACTCTGCTACGATATTAGATGCACTAAGATATTAGGCCCTTTGCTAAGACCTCATTTCGGCTTCACATTGTCACTCTCGCCATTGCCCTCCATTGGTAATGCAGGAGTTAATCACTCCTCTATTCCATAACAGAGATCACAAACCCATGGTGCTC